GCAAGAGGGTTGCTGGGAGCACATAAAGGATTGCAAAAGCAGGGCACGTCTTCGCACAGCTTCTGCACACAGAATTAGTGCCAAACTCCACACAGGCTGAACGTTTTGCGACCCAGACAGGAAAGGAAAGAGCTACAACAGGAAACACTTAAGGAAATTATAAACAAAAATAAACTTCAGGAAACGTTTTTATTGCCAGGGTGACTGAGCACAGGCATAGGTTGCTCAGGGAGGTTGTGAAGTCTTCAACCCTGGAGATACTGAAAAGGGTGCCACATGGACAGGGCACTGGACAACCTGTGTTAGACAGCCCTGCTTAAGCAAGAGGTTGGACCCAGATGACCTCTAGAGGTCCCTTTCAACCTCATCCATTTTGTGATTATGTGAAAAAGCTCATTAACTCACTCTGCTGAAGATGGAAAGCAAATGGCCCATATTTACATTCAGGAAAGCAAATGGCCCATATTTACTTGGTAGAGCTATTTTTGCTGACTTAACATTGGCTGCTTTCCCAGAAGGCAGAGGGAAGTTTTCAACTTTTGCATCAGACTGAGCTTTTGGCATTAACCTCAACGTTTGGGAAGAAACCACTCCCATACAATGTCCAAAGAATGAAGGTTGTCTGGGTCACAATGGCACCTACAGGCCACTTGAAAATTCAACTCTGAATTAAAAATCTTTTCTTGCACTCACATTCCAGTACCTTGGCAGAGTCATCTATACCAGTTGACCTGGGTAGAGAAGTCTTGTGTTCTTCTAGGAATAAACAGAGGAGGCATCTTTGCAGGCACAAGGCTCGCTTGGTGTTGGTTTCTTGTTTTTGAACACAGCCCCTTTACAGGGATGAAACAGAATTTTCCTATACTGCAAGGGAACCAGTGTCAAAACAAAAATCTTTCTCTTTTACTTCTTATCTCCCACTCACAGGAATAACAGAATTAGTAGAAATGCTAGTCACGTATGGTATGACAACCTTAAGCTCACTGTTTCCAAATATGGTACTGTAATTTTATCCAAAAGTTTATTGCAATAAGTAAATACATGGTTTAGGCTTGCATTTTATTAAGGAAAAGAAAAATTAATTCAACTTATTAGACCAGTCAGGCAGGCTCCCAGGTTCTTAAAAATGTATCACAGAACTTGCCTATTCCCAATTAGGGCAAACCACACAGTCAAACTGACACCAGGAAGAAATATCTGGAAGACAAGCAATAGTTCTTTAGGAAACTGCTTTGGTCTTGCTTAACATTTTACCTGGCTAGTAATTTTAGACTTCAGCCTGCTTAGACAGCAACAACTTCTGTGGTTTAAAAGGAGTCCCTGTACACAGATCAAAGGAGTGCACTGGCCAAGTTTCAGACACTCTCTCCATATCCATCTGGTTTAGATACAGAGATGCTACTTTATCACACTTTCCATAATTTTTAAAGATGCAAGACAACCAACAAGCAATTAAGATTTATTCTTATGAAGGAGAAACGTCAGCACATAATACATCTTATTTTATTTATATTCCATGAACATCACTGCAATTCCAGGAACTCAGAATACACTGAACGGCCGGTCGTATTTACCTTCTTTGATAAGCCTCTCTTTATGGTTCTGTGGAAGAAAAAGAACACTTGTTATTATTTTACTAGAGAAGGATTTCAATCAGCCTGGGATAAGAGAACAGCAGCTCTAGTACTTCAGCATGGACTACACAGAGACAGCGCCATATATGATCTTAAGGGTCTTTTCCACTCTAAATTATTCCATAAGCACAAACTCTGGTAAGAGCTGTTGTGGTTAAAAAGATAATAAGGCACTTAACTTCACCTACTAAAGACCTTCTCAGACTGACCTCACATCTAGCTACTCTTACAGGCCAGCAGAGACCAATTCCTGTGAAGTACTTTTCACCAAACTAGCTGTGTAACAGTTAATTTGTAGTACCTTAGTTTCTACCTCCTCCTTGTGGCTGAATAATCCAGCTTAGAGACATAATTATGGAGAAACTTCCTAATAACTTGCCTGACTGTGCCTGTGCTCACTTTCAACCCTTTTGTATCTCACTCTGCAGTCATTTACCTTTCTGTCAGGTACCATTACAGGACACTGCGGATACTGCCCAGATTCCTTCTGCTGGATAAAACCAGCAGATTTGCTTAAGACTTAGCAGGGTATCTTTTGCTTTCCCAGACACAGAGCAAACATTCCTCAGAGAAAAATGTATAATGATTATTGTGCGTTATTTACTACCAAAAAAACAAGAAAAATCCCCAAACATCACTAAAGGAACTGCAATAAAGGAAAACAAATTATCCTGGGCACTAATTAAAGACCTCAGTACGACAAAATACTGCAGAGGTACTGAGGTCTCAAAAATATTCATATCAACATGCTCACCGTGTTTTCTAAAACCTGTATTTTTGATTCATCCTAGCAAACAACACTCCCTACAAAGACTCTATTATAGTGACTTGATCTAAAATGTTACTTCTGTGCAAGAGGGAAACAAGAAATGTTTTACAACAGCTCCAAATACTCTACAAAAACCAGCCACTGTCTGCCAGTTACCTAGCATTTTCTTATGTATGCATAAAGCTGAGGTTTTTCATAATCATCTACCATTCTCAGATTCTGATGTCCACATTTTAGGAGTTAGAATGGAAGAAAGATAAACCTTCCAAAATCTTAAACATCCAGCTGAGGTCAGGCACTGCAATCAACATTATTATAACTCCTCCTGATTTGTTTCATGAGATTAGAGAAATGGTCAAGCAATTGCACTGAGACATTGATAGGTCTGTCCTCCATAAGCTTCCTGTTTAAGTTTAAAAAGTATAGGTAATGCATTATCAACCGCTGAAAATAAGAGTCTCTTATGATTAATTTCCACTGTCAGTGCTACAGAAAGCTTTATTACAGCAAAACAGCCTGATTGGGCAAACTGTGACTGGCCATAACCCAGCATACAATAAAAGGCTCTTAGAAAAACAGGACTTTGCAACCAGTTACGAGGCTTTGAGATAGCAGGCTCGGTATCAGTCTTCCTTCCCTCATTACTTTAATGGTATTAATCATTCTGAGGTGCAGATCTATACTTCACAATCTGGTGTTTTTGCTGTTCACCGACGTTCGGTGTCGCCAGATGACTTACCCTGTCAAGTTTGAAGACAGTGATCCAGAAGAGGATGGGGCCTATCGCACAAACAGCTCCTAGAAAGGACGTCTTGGGGGTTGGGCGGAAATTAGGGTACACGTTATGAGTCCTCGCATAGACCCAGCGGATCATGGCGGGGTCTTCCTGGGGTGCAAAGAAAACCGCGGTGAGGCCTGCGGGGCCGTGCCATGGCCGCTCCACCCGGGGGACGCCGGGAAGGGCACCAAGGTCACGGGGAGGACGGGCAGCGTCCCTCCGGCACGGCCCCAGCCCCGGCCCCGGCCCCGGCCCCAGGCCCGGCGCGGACCCCGCCGGGTGAGGCGGACAAGCCCCGCGCTCCCCCCGCTGCCCCTCGGCCCGCGCCCGCTCCCCCCCCCCCCCCACTCACGATGACGGCGGCGGGCGGGTTGGGGTTGTTGAGCTGCAGCTGGTACTGCCGCTTGAGCCGGGCGCGGATGGCCAGGCGCTCGGCCTCGGCGCGGCGCTTCTCCGGCGACGCATCGTAGGTGTCGGGGTCGAGCTCGGGGGGCAGCGAGACGTAGGCGTTGGGCCGGTACAGCTTCGCGGCCGACGGAGGCGGCCCCGACGCCATCTTGGACCCTGGCCCTGCCGGCACCGCCCCCGCCGCGCCCCCTGCGGCTCCCGCGGGAATGGCGGGAGCAGCGCCCGCTCCCCTCAGGGGGGCTCGGGGTGTGCGGGGCACATCGGAGCCGGTGGGACAAAAGTGGGTCAGCAGTCCTGTTGAAAAATGTGGAATACGTAAAAGTTTTCTTAAGGAAGGCTGCCCGTTGATGTTTGATCTTTGTATACTTTCAAGCCTAATCAATGAGAAAGGAGATTTATAGTCCGCGAAACGACACCTAACAAGCTCTAAGTGATGTCCAGGTGTTGGAAAAACGAATTGCTTGTTGGTAGAATCATTAAGGTTTGGGGCTCGACCTGTTTCAACGATCTCAGGCCTACCGGGATGTTAACAAAGCTTGGGAAGAAGATTGTACCACTGACGGTGGATACAAAGAATGCAGAATTTACAGGCCACAAGGACATTTGGCAGAGCCCCCAAGATAAGGAAGAAACTAATAAAGGCAGCTTGGCAATTGTGCTGAAATCAGCTCTGACTGGGTTAAAGGTGGTTCTGGAAGGGGCAGATCATGACCACCAACTCAGGGACCAATGACCCAAAAAGCCCACTAACCCAAAAGAAGTGAAAGACTGAGCGTGTGGACATAACTAGCATGAGAAGCGAGAGAATCATTAACCAATAGAAGATAGAATAGTAATTAATTAATGCAATATATTAATACTAATTAATAAGAGAACTAGGTAACTTGTAGCCACTGAGCATTAATGCCTTTGCTTGCTAAAATGTATAAATGGTGAAAATTTTTGCTGGCTTTCTGGATTTGCCGCTGTTTCTGTGCAGAACTGTAAATAAATCAATTACCTGGACTCTGTGGATTGGCTTCTTGCATACCAGGTGAAAGAACCTAATTTGGGACAATAGTCCCAGCAGCTCTGACCCCCGCAAAGAAGAGGGCCTTTGGGAATGAGCTGGTCAGGAATGTTGTTTTCCTGCTGCCTGCTGGGAGACAAAACTGGAGGAGCATTGCTGCAGGGGCCTTTGGAGCCCTTTTCAACAGTATTCCTATGTTTTAGAAAGCATAGTTAATGCACATCAAACTGCTGAAAATAAGTCTCTTACAATTACAGAATCACAGAATCCTAAGTTGGAAGGGACCCACAAGGATCATTGAATCCAACTCCTGGTCCTGCACAGGACCATCCCGAAGAGTCAGACCATGTGCCTGAGGGCATTGTCCAAACACTTCTGGAACTCTGTCAGGCTTGGTGCTGTGACCACTTTACTGGGGAGCCTATTCCAGTGCCCAACCACCCTCTGAGGTAAGAACCTTTTTCTAATATCTGACTTAAACCTCCCCTGACACAACTTCAGGCCATTCCCTCAGGTCCTGTCACTGATCACCAGAGAGAAGACATCAGTGCTGGGTTAATGGTTGGACCCAGTGATCTTAGAGATGTTTTCCAACCCTGATGATTCTAAGGTTTTGACTTTAGGAAGTTTCTTTCTTGTTGATATTAGAGGCTTTGTTCTCCAGAGATGTAGGAAAATATGTGCAAGTTGTTTTGCTGGAAACAAAGTTGCCAGTAAATAAGTTTTCTGGTTTTTTTATTTCTTCTGATATACAAAACAGTGATAGCAGTTATGCTGATTGGGACCAAATAAGTCAATGGCTGTGCATATATAGTTATGGCCTGATTTACACTGGGGTAACTCTGCAAACTCAGGTAATGGATGAGGGATTACAGTTTCCTCCTAAGCACACACAAAATAATACTGCTGACTTTATTTAAAGATTCTGTGCTTTGGCTCTGCAATAATAGAACAAAAGCTCTGCCTCACATTTTCAAATTTCACTCTTCTTTTTCCTAAGCACTTGGAAAATCGATGATCTCCTTTTGGTCTTAGCAGCTAATTAGGAGTTGTGACTTGCTTCTAGTAGGATGAAATACAAGTTGGATGTCCCTGAAGTTCATGTACCTTGAGCACCCGCACACATACACAGCAGGAGGTACTTTTCCCTCTCTCAAGTGCAAGCCTGTAGTCCTTTCAGAAATCTCTCCCGCTGTTTCTCCAGCTTTTCCACCCTCATTTTCCTCACAAACATGTGGCTGCAAATCCAAGTGAAAACCAAGCTGCTTCATTCACAGTCAGCTCCCAAGGAAGTACTTACATGCCCTGTTTCTTTTTTCCCCAGAGTTTTCAATTTGGGTCAGTGACTCCCATTGCATGGAAGAATTTACTCCCTTTACTTTCCCATTTTGTGACCATCAGGTTTAGTGACCTCTGTGTCCCCAGCTCCACAATTGTCTCTCTCCATGACCAGCATGTGGAGAGCTATTTTAGCAGCACATTACCTATACCAGCAGCACTGCCATGTGGCACTCCTCTGGTACTTTCATCTCTGAGTGTTTCCAAAGACTTGGCAGCCTGTGTTTCCCAGCCCATACGTGGCTTTCTTCTTTAAAAGCTATTCCTCCCTGCTCTGTCTTATTTCTTAATAAATGACACATGGAGCCTTGAAACAGATTAATTCCTGGCAGGAGCAGGAGTGTAGGTTGGATTAGCAAACTGGGAAGGGTTAGCCACTCTGTGGGAAATGGTGGGTGTTTTTCCCCTCTTTGCTGCATCACAGAGTGGAACAGAAAACTCCTGTTCCTGCAGATCTCCCAAAGGACTTCAAAACAGCCAGATGCTTTTCCCCGAATCTGCTGGCTCCTGATGCCTGTCTGTAGTGGTGTGAGACAGTTCCTATGGGCAGGAGAAAAGATGGTCATGTGGTGAAGTCACTTGGCGAAGGCAGCAGGTTCAGCTCCCAGCCCTGTTGCAGAATCTTTGTCCAAGCTGTGCCTTCTCCCTCTCCCCAGAGCTCATAGCTGTGAGTGTGCATGCTTGGCATGCAAACAGTGCTGAAATTAATTCTACTGGGAGAAAAACAGAAGGTATAAAGCAACATTTCCATTAACAACGTAATGTACTGTATTGGAAAATCGAGCAGCCAGCTGCTATGCTGAAAACACCTTTGCATTTCATCTCTAATCACTAACTCATTCTACCTCCTGAAGAATCAAGGTCCTCACAGGGAGTGTTTTCTGAGAGATGTCGCTTGTTTCACAGGGTAAAAAAATAACTAAATCCCTTCCAGAGAAGCATATTCTCTGACACTGAATCCTGTACTTTGCAATTTGTTGTTTTCACTCCTCCAAGGGTGAATTTGTGCACTTTCTTCATTTCGTAACAGCCATGTCTCTAACTTTAAAACACATCCTTCAGCAAAAGCCCAAGTCACCAATAGTAAATGTCTAAATCTTGCATAAAGCAATGCAGGACAAAGACAGAAATACTGCAGTCAAAGCACTTGACTGAAATCAGTGATTGTTTTTTCTCCTGCTGACAGGGACTGCTGCACAGAGTGAGAAATACTGTGGTGACAAACTGTACTCCTGTGCCGACCTTCTGCGTCATCTGCTCCTTCTGGACCACCCTTATAGCAGACTGAACACAGCCTGCCTGCTACTGCAAACCACCTTGGAAACAAAAGATTTTGCAAGAATGAACAAGACCCTTCTTGCCTCTGTTTTTGTCAGCCAGATCATGGAGCTCTTTTGACTCTTCTCCTGATGGCTGGTGTTGACCTAAGGAAAGCAGCGGGAATATAAAACAAGCACTTAGGAGAGCGGGGCCACTCTCAGCAGGGCAACACAGGCTAGAACTAGAATATGCTGGTCATAAAACCACATCCTTTTGGGTTCATGCACCAAGGCTTGACAAGTAAGACCCCAAGTCGTTTTGCTTCTTTTTATCAGGGCTGATGTTCACTGAATGTCCGAGATTGGCAGTATTAAATGAAATTGACAGTTCTCCTATGAAAATGCCTTTGAAGTTTACATCATCTGTTTTCTTTGCCATTAGCAGTAACCAAAATGGAAAGAACCAGTCAAGACAATTAATCTTTGTCCAGAACCCTGTGGAGAGTTGACCTTGACTGGCTGCCAAGATTTCCACCCGGCTGCTTTCTCACTCCTCTCCACAAAAAGACCAGGGGAAAAAATTACATGGAAAATCTCATGGGTTGATATAAGTGCAATTCCTAGGAAAAGCAAAAGCTGCACAAGGGAGCATAGTAAAAGGAGGAAATCATTCGCTACAGCCCAGTCAGCAGACAAATGTCTGCTTTAGGGGAAGCAGGGCCTCTATATGCATAGCAGTTGCTTGGGAAGACAGATGACATCACCACAAATGTCTTCCCATCGTCCTCTTTTCCCTTAGCTTTTATTTCTGAGCAAGACATCATGTGGCATGGATATCCCTTGGGTTATTTGTAGCAGCTGTCCCAGTTATTTCCCCTCCCAATCTCTTGTCCATCTCCAGCATACAGTCCTTTAAAGTTGGTGGTGAGGTGTTGGAGGGAAAACCTTGATGTTGTGCAAGCACTGCTCAGCAATATCCAAACTTGGTGTGTTACCAATGCTATTTTAGCTACAGATGCAAGGCACAGACCAGACAGACTGCTGTGAAGTTTAACTCCATCCCAACCAAACCCAGTACAAAGCCAGCTTGAATACTGTCTGACACACCACTGAATTTCTGAGACCATTCTCATATAAATTAACCTGAAATCAGACAGACTTCTATGACACTTTTGATTGAAGCTGCAAATAACTTCCACCTTGAGTTTAAAGTTACAGTAGGTACTGACCTTCAGTTCAGAGCTGTGTGATTTTTCTGGTGACTTTTTAGTCATGCCCCAAAATACACAGACTGAATGTTTTAGACTGTATACACAAAGTCACATCTTTTCAGTCACCAGAATAAGTGACTCTGTTCTTCAAGTGAATGAGAGAAAAATTAACTTTATTCACAGACCTATCTACCTATCTCCAAGGTGATTATGCATAACACTTTCAGAAGGGACAGGTTAAATGTGCTGTCATCTCAAAAAAATACTTGTGCCTGTCAAACTTGTGCTGAGTGCTTGCAATTGCTCCATTTGCATCACATGTCAAGCTGGGTCAACATGCTGCTGGGCTCTGTTGTGAATTCTCACTGACCTTTTACAAAGAAAGCAAGCTGGGAAACAGGGAAGAAGCTGACAAAATCATTCATATCACAAGGAGGTTCCTGAACAGAGGTCCCTTACTTGTAGTTCCCACATGTAATGGGCAAGAATGGTCATTTGTCTCCTGTTCCTGTTCCATACAAGCAAATAAATTCTGACATGTGTGCTGCTGACCTTCTTCTGAAGGGGGATCAGTATCAGGCATCCATCTGCAGGGATACATCCATGGTGAAAAGCCAAATGGATACGGAAGGGAAGCAGTGTAAGAGGTGTTAAGACACAGCATAGTTTATCTGAGCTCAGAACAAGTGTGTCTAACTGCAGCATATTAAATTGTCCAGATAAATGTAATCCATTCTGCATTAAGAACTGAGGTCCCCAGTATCTTTATCTTATAGTTGCTTAAAGGAAGCCTGTCGTGCAAATGAAGGAGTTAACATGGTTAGGGGAATTATGAATCATTACTACATACAACAGGCCACCCATAAATGTGTATCAAGTGTTGAGCTCAGCAGGAGTTAGTTACAAAACCAGGACACTTAATGAGTCATAAAGCGCCCGGAATAATGAGATGTCATTAAACAAGCCATTTCTACCTCTCCTTGGCTTGTCCAGAGATGGTGACAAGAAGCCCTCTGCTGCTTCAGCTTTTCCTGTCAAAGTAAAATTTTTGAGTCACAGTGAATTATAGCTGTGGCTGAACTTCTCGAGCCAGGGAGCTGGTGCCGCTTAGGCGGCCCTGGTGGGAGAAGGAGAAGATGGCAGCAAGCATCTTGTCTCCACTCCTTTCCAGGTCATTGATTTTACCATTTTGTGGTATAATATTCTTAGGTCTCCCTCTGCTTCCAACTCCTTGCACAAGAAGCTATTAATAGTCATGTAACATTGAAAAGTGGGAGAGGAAGAGGTCTTAGAATAAAGTAGAGTGGCAATTAAAAAGCTGAATGTCTCAGGGTAAGTCCTGTTATTGGTGAAGTGTTAGAAGTGTTTAACCAGTTAAGTGGTGATGCTATTCCTAGACTTCCCCTGATGATGGTTGTCAGGAACTGGACTACTCCAGCAAGCTGTCATTGCTCCAACCAGCCTTCTCCTGACTCTCCTTACCTGCTGGCTCATGAGTAGCATTGAAGCTCAGATCCTTGGCCTTAGTGCTGGCCTGAGCTGTGAGAAATGTGTGTTGTATCTCACCTTGGCTCAAGTTCCCAGCTTGACCTTAGACCTTCCTTGTTACTTTGGCCTTGCCTGGACATCACTGGGCTGTGGCTGGTTATGGTTATTGCCACTGGACCTGGCCCTGGCCCCATCACATTGTCTGGCTCCCAGCTCATCCCAGTCTTAGCATCCCTGAGCTGCACTGTCATGAAACAGTGCTCAACCTCATGACCATAGGGAGAGTGTGTGTGGTGCCAAGGGTGGACTCATACTGACACCAGCAAAAATTCACAAAGCAGTTGCTAACAAGAGCCAGTGAGAGGAAATGCAAGTGTTGCAGGAAGTGGCTCACACAGGGAGGCATCTTTTCTGGCCTGCTGTTCCAACACAGATCACCACCAGCAGCTGATGTTTCTTTTTCCCCCATTTCTCCCCAGGTGTTTTATTCTGTCCACAAAAGAAAGGATAGATCTGCTTCATTCAGTGTGAGTACTGAAAAGTAGCAGTGCCTGCTGTGAACTCTGCCTACTTCTCTCTGACATGACTGAGAGAATTTTGGATGGTGAGTCCTCCTGCCCTAAAACATATCTGAGACACTGCTAACAATCTCTTGGAGATTCATTTTTTCCCTGTGGGTTCTGGAAAGAGTTTAGTGTAGCTCAGATACTTCCCAGCTCCCTGAGTATCCAATATGTGAAAGAGTGCTGCATAACCAAATGTTATGCAGCCTTTATTGCACCTGGAAGATGCTCCTGTAAGTGCCTCCCAGACCCATGGGTAAAAGCCTGGACTTGCTGACAGCAAAGGAGAGCCCTATGAAAATGGCTCTGGCCCACAAAGCCTTCAGTTTCCCTACAGTGCCTCATTTGAAGTTACATTATGGGTTTGGATGGATTTCCTTTCACAAACAGAGTGTAAGGAAAAGCCTGCTGTGTGAAGATCCAAACAGGATGGGCCAGTGAAACTTTAATTCCCAACAGATATGACAAATCCTGTTTCTCAAGACAGAAATACACTGCCCCGAGAGCTGGTTGGCTGTTAGGGACTTGGCCTGTCATGGTGGGGTCCACTCAAGAATACTATTTTGGAGGGGACCTCACTTTGGGGATCATCCAGTCCAAACTTCTCCACAGCATGAAATTAATTTTTAACTGGAGAAAGAAGCGGTACCTTATAGAAAACGACTCTTTAAGAAGTCCCAATTTTTTCCTTTCTACAGGAAGACACTCAAACCCTGTGTGAGGAAAAAACTCCAGCCTGAAACCTGTGATAGATCAGCTTTGAAGGAGAGGCAGCTCTCTCGTACTGCTACATAGAAAAAGCTATTCACTTTGTTTTCCTTTATATATTTTGTTAGAAGTCTGGAGCTTAAATTTTAAATCAAGTCTTTGGGAACACACTGTGAAGCAGACCATCAGTATGAATAAAATATGTTAGTAGGGACATGTTGAATTTAGTGTGACTGTTTGGCAACCTCTGTATTGCAGTGAGGAAGTACTTAGTTGTGGCAATGCAGAGTGGAGATTTTTTTGCTGAAGTAAAAGACAGAATACAAATGAGGCTGTTGCTGCAGAATGCCAGCGAGTGGGAAAGATACATAGTGTCCAGTGTGGGTGTTTCAGTGTTTAAAAAAAAAGGTGGTACTACTGAAACTTGAAACTTCTGACCTATAGAAATAGAAAAGCAGAGCAGTGCTTTCCCTGGGCTCTTGTTATCATTGCATAAATCAGGAATATTCACTAAACAAGAAATACCCTGTAGCACTGCAGAACCCTGTATCCATCAGTTTTCATCTGCCTTGTTGGGGAGATTGGTAAGGCAGCTGCCAAGATTAAAAATTGCCTCCTAAATTAATGTCTCCCTACTTCTCTGGATAACCTCTTAGCAGAGAGGTTTGCTATTTGTATAAACCACTTATATTTACAGTGCCATATCACCCTAATCCAAATAGTGTAATTGTGATTTGCAATCTTTAAAGGAAAGATTTCTACCTCTGGTGTGATCCTTGTGGGGCTCTTTAGACATGATGCTTTTCCTGCTCTCCTACTACTCCTGGCTCCGTCGCCTTGCACGTGTCTGCTTCCTCCCTACTCACCTGCAGATGGTTTTGCCCTACCCAATCCTCTTCTCCCACACTGCCATCACTGCTGAAGGGCTCTTTACTCTTCAATCTACTTCGACTTCCTCTGCCTCCTTCACTTGCTGCTCAGTCTTCTCCTTGCTCTCTTCTGGATGTGTCTCACCCACTTTCTTCCAAGAATCTTCATTCAAGAGAAGATCCAGTTGTGGTGGCACCCACTTGCAAAATACTTAACAGATGACAACTGCAACTTTGTGGTACTCCGCTCCCTGTTCCTTCTCATCTTCTGTGTGTCAAGTGATGTGTACATAGCACACTGGGAGCAGGGGAATTCATGTTCTTCGTCCTTTGCTTTGAGTTACTTTAGAGTCTTCCCATGGAAGGGAAAACTGAAGCCAATGGAAGTGCAAGCAGCCATCATACTGCGTGCTGGTTCTCCTCAGCACATGAGGGCTGATCAGTTTCTACAACCAGCCCTTCAATTTTATAGAGCAGTGCAATGGTGAGAGCTATGAAGGAGGATCCATCCATCTCTTTATTAATGCTTTTCAAGGTTAATCCTTCTTTTCTTTGTGTGAAATATGCTGTCAGGAGTGAGTTTTTCATTGCTCAGGCACAGGCACAATATCCCCACCTTCTGTTGCTGTGTTGGTCTTCCTGCAAGCTCCGGGGAGGCAGCTCCCTCTTGTTCATGACATGGTCCACCAGCCACTGCAGTGACCAGAGCTGCCCCCAGCACATGGTCACAAACTGAATGAGTCCATGGGAAATTGCAAAGCCTAGTTCTGTTATGTCTGTATCAGTCTTTCACAGCTGGCTAAAACGCCTCTTCTGCCAGACCCATTAATAGGGATGTTGCATTTCTCCATAATTTCCCTGAGGACTGAACACGTCTCATCAATTGAAGGAAAAAAAGGATGGTGACTCGCACCTCAACCTGCCTAATTATTTCCAGGATAGTCCTTCCCACCAAGGATTGAGAATGTCTGGGGTATACCCATGGGAGAAGCTAATATGCCAAAATCTGTTTGTCTAAAATCCAAATAAATATTTGAAATATGATAAATTGCTCACGCTGCACAACAGTTGCCAAAGTCAAAATGCTTTTTCTTTACAATTGTATGACTCCTCCCCAGCACAGAGCAAACCTCCATTTCCCATCCCTTTGCTTTGCCTTGTGGGGCTGTGTCGACTTCTTGACCCTTCCTTATTTTATTTCACTGTATAAAGAGCTTGGACAAAGCAGGAAAACTGAGCTCCTAATCTTGAAAAACAGCGTATTTTTTAAGATCAGTGAAATTATGAAGCGTTGATTTCCTTGTTCTTAGTCATAGTTTTTGCAGGTGGATCGCAGAGGTGACATCTGCTCCTGAAAGCAATGCTACCCTTTTGTCAGGCAACGATGGAAAAGGTTTTTTGGACCTGCAGAGCAGCCTCAGAGCAGAGTTACCTCTGGCTGTACTCTCCCACCTCTGACAGTTGTCAAGCAGTTGACAACTTCAGTTGGCAGCTTATGGACTTTTATCATATTTTCTCACAGCACAACTTCTCCCAGATACGAGCATCTCTGTATTGTCTGAGTGGACTTATATTGCATTTGGCACCAGCTTTATCAAACATTGGGTGAACCTGTCCAGCAGCACATCTATATTTTTTACAAGATTTGGGACAAATTCTTCTGACCTGCCTATCATATGGTATACTGCTTATGCAAACTTTTTAGATGCACTGTGCTGATGCACAGGAACACAACCGCAAGATGTGACACTGTGGTGGGAGGTCTCTTCCCTTGGACCTCTTGGAGGGAGAAGCTGTCACTGCGTTATCTTAACCTTGTTCAGAAGCAAAGGTGTAAAAGTATTTCTTGGTCCTAGAGTCCAGACAGTCACAGATTTGATCAGGACTGAGTTCAAGCAGTTTCCTACAGAGGGTGGCCCTAAGGAGACCTTGAGGCACAGCAGGGAGCCCAGCTTGCTGCAGAGGGATGTCCCTAGCACTTTAGGGCTGATGATGTTTTTAGCACTGGCTTGTCCTTGCCTGATACCTTGTTCTTGGAGTCGAGATTGGATGACCCTTGGACAGAACATTAGTTGATCAGAGCACAGATATTTTGAGGCAATTTACTCTGGCAAAGAATTACTTTCTTGCTTGAGAGTTGCTTGTTGTTTGCGTTCTGTGGCAGTGAAAGGCCGGGATGTGATGAGGAAAATGTGGTCTTTGGTTCAGAGCGGGAGGAGTGAATCACCAGCTCCACAGCTGGAATTGCCCTAGCAACACTGTTTGACACCCTCCTGGTTTTATGGCCTGACCCTGTCTCAGGACTTGAAATCTTTGGATCCAGTCCAGGATTTCTGAAGAAGTCATCAGTCTTTCCTAGCAATGAGAGGTAGCACTGAAAGCATAGTGGGTTAATGATGATGGTGATAAAAATACCAATAAAAATAGTCTGACAAAATTTACCCCAACAACCACTTTCACATATTTTCTGTTTTGATGCAACATTTCTGTTTTATTTGGCAGAAACAGAAGTATTCTCTCTCCTGTTAAAAAAATATTTTTGTTTTTTTATTTTTCACTTCTTTTTCTCCTCTTTATAGCAGTTGCTAAGGGAAACAGAGGAGTAAACAAGAAAGAAGGAATAAAGGCAAAGAAAACAATTCAGGTTTTGTTATTTTGGATAAACTTTTTCAACCAAACCCAGAAATATCATCATGATAAAAATACAAGAAAACTCCTTTCAGCAAAAGCTGCTGGTTCTCTGTGCTTTCTCAAATCAGTTCCTGCTGTATGGCGTGTCCCTGAGTGTAGCAAAGGCAGACTAGCATGAGGTATCAAGAAAATGTTGGCTCCTGACAACAGTCCTAGTTCAGTTTTAGAACTGCAGAGAACCAATGGCAAACAGCAAATCCTAGTTATTTTTTTGACAGTTATCCATAACTGCTGTTTCACTTTACAACGTAACTTTAGGTTGCTCCTTTCTGCATTAGTGACCAAAGCCTCACGAGATTCTACGTGGACTGTTCTGGTTGGTTCTGCAGTGTGCTGGAGTCCTGCTCCAAGGAACCTTCAGCTTCCTTTCCTGAGATGAAATCAATGAAGCTCTGCAGAAAGCAGGAACTGAATTGCAGTGATGCAGCAAAACTGTTTCCTAGACAAAGGAGGTCTTTTCTGCAAGGGTTCACGCTGCCCTGCAGAGACCAAAAGAGAGTCAAAACAAGCTCTGCACTCCTTTAGACAGTATCAAACATCTTATAGGAAAACTGTTGCTCTTTATTAAGCTCTAGAATACTTTTCCACTAGGTAGCCAACAATTATGCAGAGCTAAATGGGGAAGGGAGGTTGAACAATGCAGTCCCAAACTAGGAAAATAGTGAAGGGTTCAAAAAGGAAGGGATCTCTGATCTAATTCAAAACTTAATATATGTTTTCAAGATGTGTCTCAGCTGAAGCAGTAAAAGTAATAAGGATCATAAGTAATTCTGACCGGTATGCTGTGTTTCAGCCCAAAGAAAAATTCCTAAAGGGAAAGTACAAAGGTTTATAATAGAAGCACCAACCAACTGTAGCTGCGATCAGTAATGCTTCTTCTACACCTTCATTCTTAACCCTGAGTTGCATTCAGTGGGTAAAAATAGCCACTGCCAAAAATACTAATTACTTTGAATAATTAGCGCCATCACTTCTAGAGGAACTTCCTGTTGTTTCTGTGTACAGTGTTAAAATAAGCATCTGGTTCAGAAAACAATATTAAGGTTGTAATAGAACTCCAGTTGCTGTTTAACTTTGTCAAAGAAAACAACACAGAGGAAAATGAAAACATACAGGCCTTACTTACACAGAGCCCCGTGTAGCAACACTGAATACGTAAGATCTCAAGCCAAGCTGAGACAGAGCTTCCAGGATCTGTCCAGAGGCATCCCTGAGAGAGGGTTCTCAGATGTCTCCTTGGGAATGAAATGAAGGACTCTTCACCAGAAAGAACAAGCTGGTGTGTTGGCCCTGCAAAAAAGCACAAAGGAAAAAGGAAAAAAGCAATCTCCCTCTGCTTGGTCTGGTAGACAACACCTATTGTAATGATGCAACGTGTGGGAGGACTGGAAAGAAAAGAAAATACACTTCCAGCCCAAATCCTGGTGGATTATTAAATGTCAAAACACCTTGCCACCTGATGGCGGGACCAAAACTCATTCTTAGGGGCTGCGTCGAGAGATCCATGCACAACACGTCATGCTGTGAAAGGGTGAGTAGGAGCACTGTGCCATTTCTTCAAGGCAGAAGAGCTCCTGACAGGGCAGGGCTGTGTAGCCCTGCTGCCTGCTGGGAATTGCCAAGAGGCTTCATACATGATGATGGACTTTTCCTGTGATGTGCAGTGCAGCCCATGGCCCCCTTCACCATCACCAGTGGGACAGTGAGGTTCAGAGATGTCTGTTATTC